CTCAGGCAGCCTTGCGCGGGCCCGAACAACACTCCGCAGCTCTCGACTTATATTGCCCAGCTGTTCCCAAACTGGCTGTGCAGCGCTCGCACGCACACATTTTTCGTCGGCGGCGAGGGAGAAGTGTCGCATCGGCGGTCGGGCTAAACGGGGCTACCGAAAAGCGAACTGTCCAACGCGCAGGAGAAAGGACAACAAAAAAACAGGGCGGCCACGGAGGATGGAGGACAGGTCGCTCTGAGGCAGAAGGGTTCCGACTTGAGTGTGCTGGCGCGGGCAGCTTCGGCAGCGAAGGCCGCGGCAGCTGCCGGGCCGCGACGCCGGGGCATCCACGGGCGATGACGAGGCCCAACGCGCGGAACCACAATGGTATCAACAACGAAGCCGTCAGATAATAATGGCTGACTAGGTAAAGTGTACGTCGGGGTAAGCGCAACGAGGCCAGCTAGGTGGGTCGACGAGGTACTGTAAGTAAACGATAGAGGCTTCCTAGATTGGGTCCGGACAAATGGAGTCGGAGCATTTCGCCGCATCGCCGATCCATCGGCGATGCATCGCCGACGCATGAGCAATGCACTGGCGACATCGTCGGTGCATCGGCGACGTCGGCGTGGAGAAAATCGGGCCCCACATCGAGCCGCATCGCCGATGCATCACCGATGCATCGGCGATGCGGCGCGATCCTCCGACCCCATCTACTCCGACCCCATCTAGGAGGCTTAAAACGACGAGCAATCTAGGTCCCAGACTGCCAGAAGCAAAATGCTGAGCCCGCAGGGCGAAGTGCAGGGCGGCAAGCAAGACCAAGCCTGGGGGCGCCGTCACCCGGGGGGCAGCTGCGCCAGCCTCGGCTGCAGCGTCGGCGCGCGGAGTGTGGGATAACGCGAAGGGAGGAAAAGGGGGGGGGGCCAAGGGGGGGCCCTGCTTGTAGGTAGGTCCTCACAAGCGGGGCGTCAGTCCTGGAGTCCTGGCGCCATGGCGCCGGCGGGAGCTGCCAGGCGGTCGGTCCGTGCTGAGGCTAAGCGGCGAGCGGCCACGCCGCGCCACGCCAACGCCCACACTGCGGCCCGGCCGAGGACGGCGGCCGTCAAAGAGAGCTGCCTGCGTCAAAATTGTGGCTAAACCCGCGGGGCCACCCGCTGTCTGGGTGGACAATGCGCGGCCGGTCGGCGAGCGCATAATCAGCGCCGGATCACATTTGAAAGGACTACGGCTGAAGCCTCGGGGAACCACGCGCTATCTGGGTGGACAGTGCGCGGCCAGTCTAGGGGCACCTAGCCGATGCGGCTTCCTGCGTGAAGGGCCGCAGCCGAAGGAGTAGGCGCCGCGCGCTGCCTGGGCGGGCAATGCATGGCGGGTCTAGGGGCACCTAACCGGCATAACTACTTGCGATAACGGACTGCGGCAGACTCACATGAGTGCCCCGCGCTGTCTGGATGGGCAGTGCGCGGCAGGTCTGCGGGCTCCAAACCGGCGCAGCAACCTGCGTTAATATAGGGCCGCGCCCTGTGACGGAGCGCAGCGCTAGGCCGCGGGCCACCCTTTTGACCTGGGGGGGACAGGTCAGAGCTGGGCCGGGGCGCCAGCCAAGTCGACCCCCGCGTCGTGACCCTAGTCGTCGGGGAAGGCGGCGCGGGGAGGCCTGGTGCTCGGCGCACGGCGCTGGCTGCTGCCTGGCGCGGCCTCGACGCCGAGGGCCTGAGAGGCCAGGCAGGCCTGGCGGGTCGGGGCGACGCGGCTTCGGCTGATCGTTGTTGGGCCAGGGGACGGCGTGGCTCTTGCCTTTCCCGAGCAGCTCGCGCCCTTCCCCTTTGCCCAAGCCTCTGTCGCGCCGTTGCTCGTTGCGCCTGGGCTGGCGGTCCCAGACTGCCACCTGGTCCATCTGGGCCCCCCGCGTTCTGCAGACGCCGTGGACGTCGCGCCCAGCGCGGTGGAGTTCGCCCACGAGTTCCATGCAGCAAGCGTCGTGCCCCGCGCAGTTGTAAGTGCCGCTCGCTGACCCTCGGTTGTCTCGGGCGTCTCAGAACGCGCCCCGTCTTTCAAACAGGGAAATGTCACGCTCCCGCTTTAGCCGTCTGGTCAGTTTCCCCGGGCGTTGGTTTTGTGCTCCCACGCCCGCTGCCTGGTAGTCATCCGTCGGGGCCGAATGCATGGCGCCTCGCTGCGGTCGTCGTCGCGGGCGCGGCCTGGGCAGGCTCGCGGGGCCCCGCGCCGCTCGCGCGCCCCGTGGCCAGCGCATGGCGGGCCAGCGGTTGAGGAGGAGGCCCTGTTCAGACCTGGCGCAGGGGGGTTGGCCTCTGTGTTCTCGCCCGCCCCTCCTGCGGGACTTGCGCGCTCGTCCGTCTCTGGGTTCGGTTGTCGCGGCGCGCTCCGTCGCTGCGCCGCTGGCGGGGCGGTCGTTGGGGCCGGCCACCTGATCTCGGCCCATCTGCGTCGATGGGCACCGCGGCATGCTCGCGTCGCGGAGGCTGGGGGGCCGGCCGCGCTGCGTCTCTTGGGCCAACACTGCCGGCCGATCCTTGGGCGCGGTCGGCCGCGCAGGGCTCCGCGCCAGGGCGCGCCAGAGGATCTTGATTCGACGCGCCGGCGCTCGGCGAAGAATCGACCTCCGCCCCGCCCGTCGCTTCTATCGGGGGCTTCCTGACCCGGGGGCGACGGGGCGTTTGCGCGAGCCTCTCGGGCGGGGGGGGCTTGGGCGACGCCGCGCCGGAGGGCGCGGACCTGGCGGGCTCTGCCGCGCCATCGCCTGCTCTTGGGCCAGGGTGCCCCTGGGGGCCTCTGCGGGGCAGGGCTTAGGCCGCAATGGCGCTGCCCTGCAGCGCGCGATGCCCGATGTAGGCTCGGGCGCTCAGCCGGGGCGCCTGGTCTCTATCTCTCGTTGGAGGTTGTCTTCGCGACGGCATTCGGGCCCGCCCCGCCCAGGTTTTCCGCGAGGGGCACGTGGCGGGGCAGCGCTGGTGAAGATAGGCTCTGCACTTCCTGCGCGGCGAGAAATCTCGCGTGGCGCGGCTGACTGAATTGGTCAGTTTCTTGCCCAGGCGCGCGCGCAACTGGAGGCGGTCGGGGGCCTGCTAGGAGGGCCGCTGCTCGGCGAGGTCGCCCTTCCGATTGAGAGCGCCCCCCTTCTGCCTGATTAGGAAGGCGACCAGGCGCGCCAGGGCGGCGCGCCTCCCGCCCCAGGGGCAGTCCCTGGGCATTCCGTCGCCTGGGACCCTTGGGCCGGAGATGCTGCTTAGAAAAAGCTTCCAAATCACCTCCTGTCCAAGCCCGCGGATCCAGGGGGGCGCCATGGAGCCTCATCGGGGCTCCGTCGCTGTTGCTGCCGCTCCTCTGCCCATTGTCGACAGGCCGTCTCAACGCTGTCGTGCAGCGCCAAGGCGCGTTCTACCATTATGTAAGCAACGCCGCAGTCCTCCTCGCCCTTTTTCGGGTCTGGCTCGACCGGCCCAGGAGTGCGCAAGGCGGCCGCTTTTCGATCGGCGAGGGCGGGGCAGGGCGGGGGCACCGCCTCGGGAAGGTCGAGGAAGCCGCCCCTGGCGTCGACACGGTCGGCCAGGGGGCAGACGAGGGCGACCCGTCTTTCTGCTGGCAATGGGTTCGACTCCGCGGAGCTGGGCGCGGTTGGCTGCCGTTGGTCAAGATCACGCAACAACTTAGCCAGCTTGGCGCTCTGCGGGATCGGTTCTCCTCTGGCTCCTCGGTCAGCTCCCCAGCACGGGACGCAGACCCATCGGCAGTGGACCCCTTGTTTGTATACGGTCTTGCGACTGGCTGCTAGGGTCCTGCGAGTTTCACGGGTAACCCAGGTGCCACCTTCGGGGTCGAGAGGGCCTCGCGAACAGTCGTCGCACCATATATGGTGCGGCTGGGCGGCAGGCTGAAACCCTGCGTCTCCCAAGTTAATTTTTCGGGGGCGAGCGCAAACCCGGGGAGGGTTCCCGTAGGGGGCGGCTCATGCAGCTCACGCCCGCTGTTGGTCTGCCCGTTGCCGCTTTTCTGGGCCTTGGTCGGAGTCGGCGAGGCGGGGAAGAACCCGACTTCGGAACCAGTCAGGTCCAGTGAAAGCAGCCACACGGTAGCGAACTGGTCTAGGACCGCCACGGTGCCCGTCAAGGGGAGATCTAAGGGCAGCAGCTCGTTCCATGTGCCGGTGCGATGCTGTTGTTTGGCGGCGTCGTGGTGGTAGGAAACCGTGACCAGGCGCGAGGCCGCTCTGATGAAAGCTTCGATGTGGCCGTGCAGCGTTCGAAACTGAAACTCTTGCCCTGTGATTTCGCGCGCTCGGCCGAAGCGGCCTCTTACAGCAAACGCGCCTTGTTAAATTGGTCGCATAAGCCCAGTGCTGTTTCAAAAACGTCGCCGATGTTACCAGGGGCTTGCGTATCACGCGCACACATACATTCAAACCCGCACACGCGCACATACACTTTTGGCGGCCGCGGCCTCGCGCGCAGCGACGAGGCGGGGCAAGCCGGGGAGCGGCAGGAACACACGCGACACACACACACACACACACACACGCGCGCGCGCACACGCGCACACACACAGGCACACGCGCGCACACACACGCACGCACGCGCGCACGCACAAACGCACGCGCGCACGCACGCACGCACGCACGCACACATAGACACACACACACACTTTTGTTGGCATCGTGGCCGCGCCCGGGGCGTCAAGACCAGAGAAGGAGAAACATCAGAGGGGGGGCAGACAAAGGGAAAGACGAAGGGGATAAAGGGGGGCAGCCGTGATGGGCGCAAGACCAGAGGAAGGCAAAGGGAAAGACGACGCAGTGCGAGGGTACCCATGCACAGGCGACGAGGCGCAGAGGGGACGGCAACGGCGGCCTCCCAGATGCGAGGACGAATTCAGCATAGAAGCCCACACGCACACATACATACACGCACACACACACACACACACACACACACGCGCGCGCATACACAAGCACACACGCGCCCGCACTTATGTTCTGTACTTCGACGCGGTAGTGCGCTCCAGCCAACGGTAGCCAGGAGGTAGGCCGCCAACAGCGAGCATGTTTTAAGCAGCAACGGACATAAGTTAGCGTCCTTGTGAAGCAACATGGCTACACTGAAGCTCCCTGCCAACGCACATAGGGAAGAGCAGGGCACACAACCGTACAAAATGGCACACGCAGAGTCGGATTCATTCACCTCCTCCGCACCCTTCTCCTCCTTTCCCGCTCCTCCTGGCCCTCGTCATTCGTCGCTATTCCTCCTCTTCCTCCTCCTCCTCCTCATCATCATCATCATAATCATAATCATAAGCAGCATGATCATCATCATCACCACCACCACCACCACCATCATCATCATCATCATCATCATCATCATCATCAGCATCATCATCATCGTCACCACCACCTCCATCATCATCATCATCATCATCAGCATCGTCATCATCATCATCAGCATCATCATCAGCATCATCATCACCATCATAATCAGCAGCATCAGCATCAGCATCGGCATCATCAGTATCGGCATGAGCATCAGCATTATCACCATCACCACCATCATCATCATCATCACTCCTCCCCTTAATCCTCCTTCTCCTACTTCCTCCTGCTTCACCTCCTGCTCAGCCGCCGCCTCCTCCTCCTCCGCCTCTTCCTCTTCTTCCTCCTCCGACTCCTCCAGTCCACACCCCCTGCTATCTGCACATCACCCGATGCAACCATGTTGAGGATCAAGGTTTAAGAGACCCCAGTCGGCGGATACACACAAATTCAGCGCAAGGGAAGGAATGGGTCGGAGAGGTAGGGTGTCAGATGTGCCGCCAATGCACCTAGCGTCTCCATCCTCCCTCCTCCCATCCGTGAAACACTTTCGAGCATTTAATTCGAATACGCGCCACGCTCAAGCGAAGACCACATTCTGAACAAACATCGCCTTCCATCAGTGAAGCAGTAAGCTTTTGAAAAGAATGTGCCTGGCACTATGGCGAGATTCGTATTTTGAAAAAGACCCGCCCTCCACCCGTGAAACTCTTGTAAACGTTGAAAAAGATTGTGCGCGACGCTTCGGCGAGAGACACAATTTCAAAAGGACACAAAACCTCCAGCCATGAAATTGCTGCAGACTTTCAAGACGAATGCATGCTGCGCTGAAGCGAGAGCCACATTTAGGTGGCGGCATCTGAACCCTGCCCCCATTAATCATCGATTCTCCTGATTCGATGGTAGGCGGGGGTAGGGTTCGGATTTCGCAACGTGTTCGACGAATTCCGAACCCGACCCCCCCCGCCGCTCATCGAGTTGCCTGAATCGTTAATCGGCGAGGGTACTTAGGGTTCGGAGTCCGTCGCTGAACATTTCCGCTGAAAGGGGAGGGGGTTTGTTAATGAGTCCCCAGGGTTACGTTTGGCCAGGCCAGGCAGGGCGACGAGGACCTCCCCCCATTCGAACCGCCAGCAGCAGCGCTGCGGCGCCGCAGGAACGCGTGTTTTTTTTTCAGGGCCTCGCGAGAATGACTCGGGTGTTACTAAAAAGAACTGCCCCTGGCCCAAGGTGCCCCAGAGATTTCCGTCGGCGGTGGACAAACCTCCCTTGAATAAACCTCCCCTCAATGAAAACGGCCTGGGACCGAAACCGACGGACCTGGACCCGCAAAAATGACGGCCGCGACGCCCTCTTGCGAACCGAAAACGGCCAATTCCTTAATCGACGTGTCAAGGTAGGAGGTCTATCCACCTCCGAATTTTCCGGCTGGCCCGGAGCACGAGGCCTATAGGGGGCGCCCAGGGGTCTCCAGAAGGGAGCGAAAAGCTGCGGGCACCTCGGGCCACGGGCACTGCCAGCAGCACCCGAACGACCGCTACCGACCCCGCTTCCCCCCGGTAGCGTCACGATTCGTGCCCGCGCCGTCCGGCAACCCAGCGGCCTTCGGCTACTAGTCCTACACACTCCCAGGCGGCGCCCAATGCATGGGCCACTGGGTTGTGGATGCCACGACAATGGACACCCGAACGACCTATCATAGAATTTAAACATGTGTTCCCGATGTCGGAAACATGTTCTCAACATGTTCAAGCATGTGTTTCAACATGTTTAAAACATGTTTGACACATGTTTTAGACATCTGGAAATTATCTGGCAACATGCTTCCTCTCCATTGTAGGGAAACGAACTCTATACACCGACGCTTTTCCCGACCCTGCGCTGAAATTCGCACAGGAACGCGGATTCTGGTGTATACGGGATCCTGGTGTATACATTATTCGGTTGCTTTCCCGGGAAAGCAGGGAAACAAGTATACACCACACCACCCCAGCGCCGCCCCCGTCCCTGAAGAAAATCCTGGCATTGCAAAACCGCCCGCCACTGGTAATGTCTATGTCCCAGTTTCCGACATCGATCGTTCTCCACATCGGGGATGGACAGACCCCCCTTTGGCAACACGTGGTTCAGCGAAAACGACCTGAGGCCCAAACCTGGCGGGCGCAAGCCTGGAAAATGACGGCCACGGCGCCCTC